TCCAATAATGCAGGAGGATGTTATCTCCAGATCACTCCAGGCCAAAATCTGTCACTCTGAGTTCAACAACGTTAATCTCTTTCATTTGAAATGTTAGCACTCACTGCCTTTAATTGTTTTGCTTTTATCATTATTGCAAGTGGATTTATCATGCGGCTAGTGTAGCTTAAGTTTCAGGGACCCTTCTGGCTCCAGGAGGGGCCAGAGCAACTTTGTATTTGTAATTTTGTTTTAGTCTTCCTAAAGAGGGGCCTCAAATCCTAAAGCTTCAGGGCCTATACAGTTCTCATCAGTATGATTTCGTGGTTAAGAGCTTAAACCTGGAGATAAAAGACTTCTCTCCCTTTTACGATTAGTAATCTTGGATAGGTCACATTAAACTTCAGCCTCCGTGTTCTCAGTAGAATGGTCATAATATCATTACCTATACTTTTAGGATTATGGTAAGGCACAACTAGTACTTACATGGTGCTTCATACATAAGAAATGTTCATACACGTTAGCTGCCATTGTTGTTGTTATTGCCAGAACAAGACCATAGCTCAGTGAGAACAGGATTCTGGCATACCGAGAGCCCATCACAGTCACACATAATACCTGCTGAAGGAACGATACCATTTACAACCAACTCCACCCTTCTGCGCGTCTAACCAGAAATACAACTTTAATTACGTTCTTGGTGCGACACACATGGTTACCTCTTTAGTAAGGCGCCAGATAAGATGCTCAGTAGCACCTTCCCAATTTGAAAGGGTGCTTTAGTCTCGCTGTATCCCTTTCCTGGTGAGTCCTGAAAGCCCTGTGTTTGCCTCCCGATTGGGCCCAGTTCCTCTCTGCCGGGTCAACTGAGGACAGTCTGCGAGGGCTGAGACTAGAGACACAGAGATAACGCATTCATAGCGTTAGCATTGTGCTTGGCACTTAATAAGCGCTCAGTAAACGTCAGCTATTATTATTATTATTACAATTCCCAGCCAGGCGGCCATCTATTCCCCGCCCCTCCCCCCGGAGCTAGGCCTGCATCGTTTCCCCGGGAGGGGGGCGGGGGGGCTTGAGCCCGGAGCCGGGTAAGGGGACAGCACCTCGCGGTCCGCTTTCCCCTCCTCAGCGCGCTTCCCACGCAGGGCTCGGTCCCAAGGCCCCCGGGGGCCGCCAGGGCGGGCGGGAGGCCGGGAGGAGCCGCCGCCGCCGCATCCGCCGCAGGAGGCG